CCAAGAATGTATATATCAAAATGAAGTCAAGTGGTGAATTTTTTACCTGGACGTATTTTTTATTTATTTATGCATTTATCTACCGTAAACAAAGAAGTACTTGTACTTTATCTACTTTAATATATATTAAGCTGTTTACGAGAGAGAGAGAAATAGGGTTTAACGTCCACTCGACACAAACTAGGTCATTTCGGGACTAACATATGGTTTAATTTTATTTACATAATTCGCTTGCGCGTAGGGGTCTTTAGCAGTGGGAGGAAACCCGAGGACCCGGAGAAAACCCTCGAGGTTGGACAGGCGACCCTACTCCTTGTCACGTACAACCGGGGATTCGAAACCACGTCAGTCGACTCAATGACAGACTTTATGATACAGCGCGCGCACGCTAACCATTCAGCCATCAAACCCCCCGGCTGTTTACGACATTGTGTCCATGTAAAGGAGCTACGTCACTGAACTACGATCCGTAGATGCAAATGCTGAACAAATAAGTAGAACAATTGAAGACAATAGCGGACAATCAAACCATACTTTAAAAGAAAATTGACGAGGGGTTTGTTGACAACACGTCCACTCTTAAAGATACAGTGAAGTCGATCACCGGGGACTTGTCTAAAATTTTCAGTATCGTGAATAACTCTGTTGAACAAGCCGAATTCAAGAAAGAAGTTCATAAATTCAAATCAGATAACCGGCAGACATGGAACAAACTGAAATCGGTAAGAAAAATCTCTTTCTATAAAATGTTGAAATGTAAGGAAAAGGCTGAACAATACCAAGTTTTCCTGAATATGGGCAACCCATTTGTGTCCCGGAAACTTCGTGAAAATCCTCAAATAAAAAGAAGGAAAGAACTAAGTGTACAGAGTATGGAGAATGAAATAGATTGTTTGTTTGAAATCTCTGCAAATGAGTCAGAGACCCTTTTTTAAAGCGGAAACCGATATTTCTAATCTGATCGAAACCCATCCAAACGAAGAGTTCTAAACGTCACTCAAACCAGTTTGGTCCAAGGAGATTAAAGTGGAAGAAGAAAAATCAAATAGAATCTGAATAAAAAGAAAGAATTCCTTTCGAGTTTATCTACTAAAGAACTCAAACAAACTAATCAACATATCCAGGATGCCTCCATAAAGGTAAATAATGAGGGTAACAACCCTCGTCCGCCTAGTGGTGATCAGTGGAGGGAGGTTTCTCGAAAAAAAAGACCTCAAAATACAATAACCACAAAGGTTATACTCCCGGTAATAACCAGTACAACCAGCCTGAATATAGGCCTTTTGTAGACCAGGGCCACAGCAAACCTCGACGACCCCCAAACAAGCGACAGGGGGATTATCAACAGAGCAGGAGACGGACACCCGACGGACTTCATCAAGGGGAATTCCAAGAGAGGAAATACGAACAGAGGAAATATCAACGGGGGGGGGGGGGTTCAACAATGGGATATATATCAAGACAGGGAATACCAAGAGAGAGACTACAAACACAAGAGATATCAGCAACGAGGGAATCAACAAGGGATATATCAGAGGAAAGAATCTCAACAGAGGAACAATCAACGAAATCTATCTCTCGAAAAGGAGAAACAAAATCCTAAAATTATTAATATTTCTTCCCATAGTTTTACGGAAATTGAAATTCTACTTTTACAAAGGGGGTTGGAATTATATACATACGCCTAAAACCAATATGTGTTAACTCAAATGTGATATTAAAACTTCCATCGAAAACTGCGATTGCAGGAAAAATTCGGGGATTTAAATTTTTCTAAAGAGGATTTAGTGCGCAACAAAAGTTGCTATAATCCACGTCGCGAAAATGATAAAACTTTAGACAAATATATCGATTTTTTAAATGATTTACCCCTACCGGAGAAGGATAATGTGAGAAACAATATTAACAACGACGAGTAATTAATAGCTTACAGATTAATGATTCTATTATCATCAAAGAATCGGACAAAGGCGGGGCCATAGTTATAATGGATGTAGACTTTTATGAACCTAAGATCCTCAATATTTTAGAGAGAGAGAAATGGGGTTTAACGTCCACTCGACACATTTCGGGACTAACATTTGGTTTAACTTTATTTACATAATTCGCTTGCGAGTAGGGGTCTTTAGCAGTGGGAGGAAACCGGAGGACCCGGAGAAAACCCACGAGGTTGGACAGGCGACCCTACTCCTTGTCACGTACAACCGGGGATTCGAAACCACGCCAATGACTCAATGACAGACTTTATGATACAGCGCGCGCACGCTAACCATTCAGCCATCCAACCCCCCTCAATATTTTAGAAGATAGAAGTACTAATCTTGAAATAGATTCAAATAGGGACAAAGGGACTTTAACTTTATTTAATATTTTAATTGAAAAGGAAGGTCACGGTTTAACAGAAAATGAAAAAATAACTAAGTTTGATTGTAAAGTTAATAAATTCTATGGCCTTCCGAAAATACACAAATCGGATTTGCTTAAAAACAGCCAATTATAGCTGGCACGTCGCGTGCCACCAACAGATCATATTATTTAATTGATATTCTTTTGAAACTCTAGAGTTAAATCACAAATAAAGGATGACATTGACTTCCTTAATAAACTGCCATAGGAAATAAACGATGAGGAAATATTTGTAACATTAAATGTCTGTAGTCTCTATAGCAATTTCTCACATAATTTGTGTCTGGAGGCAGTCAATTTTTTGATAGATAGATTACCTGTACTTCGAAATCTCCGTTTTTCTAAAACTTTAATTTTAAAAGCTATCGATATTATTCTCAGGAAAAATACTTTCAAATTTGGAAAACGTAATTTTATACAAATTAAAGGCTGTGCCATGGGCTCAGTGTGTTCACGTTATGTGATTTTTAGAAGAAAAATTATATACAATAACTGAAAACAAATTTGGTATTAACTATAGAAACTACATCGAAGAGAAATTTAAAGGATATTTAGACGACGTCTTCCTCATTTGGAAAACTAATCTTTTAAATGACCTAGATATTAATATTAAATTCACTATTGAAACTAGTTATAAGGAATTTTTTTTTTTTAGATGTTCTCGTTAAGACATTTAATAATCGAATCGTTACAGATATTTACTCCAAAGAAACAGATACTAAAAGTTATGTATTTTATGAGTGATGTCCTTCTGGTCATGATAAAAATAATATACCCTTTTCTCTTGGCAGAAAACTATGCACTGTAGATCTCAAAATTCGACGACTTGATGAACTGAAATCCAATTTGCTGAAAAAAGATTACCCACTTGGGGTTATTAATATAGGTATTGAAAAGGCTAGGGGTCTGCCAAAAGAAAAGAATATCTCTACTTGTATTACCGTTATTTCGACATATAATCCTCGGCATAATAATTTTTTCAACCTATTTACGATACTCAGAATGTTCTCCTTTTAAAGATAATCTTAATAATCAATTTCATGGCATAGAATTAATTAATAGTAAACGTCAGCCCCTAGCTAAATTTCAAGCTTTTAGTAATCTTACTTTTACTACTTCTAAGTGCCCAGTTTGTAAATGTTGCCACCATATGATTATTGATACTAAATTCACTTTTTCTTATACTAATTATACGTATAAAATCAATAATAATATGAATTGAAGTACTAAAAATTTAATTTATGTTCTTGTATGCTACAAATGTAAGAAGAATTGTATTGAGGAGTGCGGAACTGAATTACGCACCGGCATCCGAGTACATAGGCAACAGAGTTTACAAACATTTAAAGATAGGTGCTCAGAAAAGTATTTATCGGGTGGCTATTTCCAATAAAAGTATGGCAATTTTAGTATATATGGAAAGTAGAAATATCCAATCTTACTAGAAAAATACTGGATTCCCCGAAAAACACTCATGGAGCGTATACAGGACAAAAATGTAAGGGTTCCCCTAATCGACAGCCCGACGATTAGGAAATACCTGCACGCGTGACGTCGAAGGTTGCACGCGAAGATTGAGCGTTAGGTGTACATGTTGATAAACTTTATGAAGAGTTAGACGTACAACACTTTCTGAGATAAAAATCACGGAAAAAGACGCGGGTAGTGGATAATCGGGGAATTTAATTAGGATTCGATATTTGTAATAAATAGTCAGCGATTAAAGACAGCATCGTCTTGCGTATGCAATGAATTCTCCTACGACTTCGCACCCTTAAGTCACGTGACACAAACATGACCGCTTTTGATCGATTTTTTATAGCAAGGGTATTCCTTGACAATTACAATGTTTTGAGAAGGATTTGAAGCAAATTGATGATAAATTAATTAGTTTGAAACCACGCCAGTTGACTCAATGACAGACTTTACGATACAGCGCGCACAAGCTAACCATTCAGCCATCCAACCCCCCGAACACTAAAGAAAGCAGTAGAGACCCAAACTGATCCAAATATTGCCCTTCTATGTCTTCTAAGTACATGAATTGGCAACAAACTCCCATCATCAGCTGAACTACTCTATGGAAGACCTGTTCAAGACAACTTGCCTTGAAAACGTAACTTTGGTGAAAACGAACGACGGAATCGTTGATATTCTGAAGCAACGTCAATCTATCCAAAAGCCGGGTCATGATAGACACTCAAGGTAGTTATCTACTCTACTCCCAGGTCAACAGATCCCTATCCAGAATCCATCAACCAGCTGTCATTGATAATGCAGTAGGAGACATTCCACGATTCTACATCATGACAACCGATTCAGTACGAACATTACGCCTGAATAGATTGCAAATAAGAGACATTCCACAAAATATTAAACATGTTCATTTTGAAGATTCTCCTGATCAATATCCAATTAAACGACAACCTGCAGCGACAAGACCAGAACCAATTAGCCAATGCCCACAACAACAAAGACACCCTCAGAATTAAACACCACCAAAAACTATTATACAACACGGAATGGGTGCACTGTCAAAAGTCCAGCGCGTTTGGATGTGTCTAGATAAAATTACGAATAATTAACTTTACGAAAAAAGTAAAATGTGTTTATTTGAATAATTTTTACCAAGTTAAAGATTTACAGGTTAATTTCATTCATATTAATAATTATGTTTTTTTTTTTTTATTTTAGAAAAATAGGGATGTTATTGTTACAGGTAAAAGTGGTTATAACCTGTCACCCCTGTCACAGTTACATCACTACCATTGTAAACTGGTATATAACCCCTCTTCATTCTGACGCAGTAGACTGACCCAATAATCCGACAGCTGGTCGACAAACCTGGAAATATAGTCCACCGGCTGTTTTTTTGATGGATTATATATCTCCAGTATGTGTAGATGCAGAATCCGGATGATGCCACCGTGGCACCCTTGGGGAAATCTAAATATCCAAGATGGCCGACATGAGGCACTCCTTGAAGCAGTTCAACCTCTTATTCCGGCAGTAGGTCGAAAAACCTTTGAAATATAGTTCACCTAATATTTTTTGATGGATTATATATCTTCAGTATGTGTAGATTCAGAATCCGGATGATGCCACCGTGGCACCCTTGGGGAAATTTAAATATTCAAGATGGCCGACATGAGGCATTTTCTGGTTATTTAGTGGGGTAAAATATGCAACAGATTCTCGTGGACTTTGGTTTGAAGACAGTTTCTATAAGAATTCGACCCGCTGAATCCAATGTAGAAAGAATCATACTGGGACACAGCGTTGTCTTCAGGCCTGGAAATAACGGTTTTAGATATACCTGACACAATGTCAGGCACTAATGAAATAGTACCTGACATTTTCAACTTAGTGCCGGACATGAATTAATAATATCAATAAAAAAGAAAAATCATTGTCGAACAAAATGACAGGCACCAGAGGTTCTGTGCCTGACAACGCCTGTATTTGTGCCTGAAATTGTCTGTAACAGGTGCCTTATTTCCAGGCTTGTCCAAGATCCCTCATCTTGATATTACCAATGACAAGTTGAAACAGAAAGTAGGGCTTATCACAGGTAAATCATGATCTAGTCAGATTTACCTCAAATCACCATGGCCACCATCTTCAATAGAAGGCTTGATCTCGCTTTATCACCATACATCTTATCAAGCCCTTCGCATAATTCCCCGCATATTTCGTCACTAATTTGGATTGGCTAGAAAATATCATCGCTAACCAAGTCTCGCGCTTTCTAGCTAAAATGTCTACCTGTGATAATCGAATTCTGAAGTTCAAGGTTCGTTCAATATCAAAGTTTCCATGGAGGTCGCCATATTTGATTTGAGTGTGTTTGTGTCGCAGCCTGTGGTAAAGGGAGATAATGTACCTATAAGTTCGGGAATTTCAGACTAATCTAGCAACGGCTAGATGGTGTAAAACTCGCGGTTGTTGCTTCAGGAACATGCTTGACCACTAACTTGGCACTAACGATGGAATGTTTTTTATATTTCCGCTATGAATCGAGACCACAGGGGCTGGACGGTAATCACATTAAATTCAAATGGTATTAATTCATCTCGTTCTCGATCTATTCCGTCTGTTTGAAGCCGTCGTTCTTAAATCTTGGTTACGACTGTCATTATCATCATTTATTTCAGACTTATCTTCTGTTTGTCCGAATAACTTGTAGACCGTACACACAAACTTAGAACTTCTAGCTTTGACAATATGGATTATAGTATCTTTGTCCATGTGGACCTTATGTTCATTAAACTGAAAAATAGAACATTAGCAACATCAAAAACTAAGCAATTTGTAACAGGGAAATATCTTATGGTCAGCACTCTTTTAGTTTTCAAGCCCCTGTTTTTATGGAATAATCTACCTTTCACTTTAAGATGTTGCACAATTCTTCTTTTTTTTATGATTATATTGTCACTTTGTAAAGTGATACTGAACATGCAAAGGGAATGGGTGAGGGTCTAGTGGGTTACAATTCACCGCTTATTCTTGACAAGGAGTAAGGTCGTCTGTCCAACATTGTGGGTTTTCTCTGGGTCCTCCGGTATCCTCCCACTGCTAAAGACCCCTACAAGCAAGAAATTTATTGAAATAAAAGTGAACTATGTTTGTCCCGAAATGACCTAGTTTGTGTCAAGTGGATGTTAAACTCTCTCTCTCTCTGATAGCAAGCCTGATAGCAACCTATTTCCACAATCTGATGTAGGATAAAAATCATAAGTCAAGATTATTCATTATTGGATTAAATCATAAATTAGGGTTGAGCAGCAAATCGGATTCAAATTCAGTGAAAATCTGACACATAAGATGGCATCGAGATTCGATTAAGGTCTTTTCATGTTAATTAATGTCTAATTAATAGTTTATATTACAGTTCAGGCCTAAAGAAAGATCTGCAATAGGCAGATTTAGCTCTTGCATAATGTATGTTTAAATATAAGATTTGAGTACATTTAATATCAGAGATATCCGATGACATCTAGAGTTGATTATAATCTGGTTAAGTTAATAAATGTCTAATTAATAATTTAGATAACATTTCAGACCTAAAGAAAGACCTGTAATAGGCAGATTTAGCTCTTCTATAACGTATGTTTAATGTTGTATTTACCTCATGATATGGTTCTATAAGTTGTATTCTATGTAACAAGAGACCAGTATAATTATCGTATAGATCTAAATAACCTTTCGTTACTTCAGCTCCACTTATAACACAACTAATTAATAATACATCTAATTCATTCTCATAATCAACATGATACACAGTCTGAAATATACAAATATATATACATGGTACACAGTCTGAAATATACAAATAATATATACATAACCAACATGGCACACAGTCTGATATACACAACTATCCACACAGTTTGAAATACACAAATATCATACATACAACATGGCACACAGTCTGAAATACACAAATGTTATATACATAATCAACATGATAATACACAGTCTGAAATAAAAAAATATAAATATATTGTACACAGTCTGAAATACACAAACATTATAAATATAGGGTACACAGTCTGAGATTTACATAAATATTATGTGGGGTTAAACATCCACTCGACACAAACTAGGTCATTTTGGGACTAACATATGGTTCAATGTTAAAGAACCTACTTACAATATTATTAGTCTCTTCACATAGTTCATCTTGAATCCATCTTTTTTTAATCTGTCTACCAGATGATGTTACAGTAGGAAGTTCAGATTTACAGTTTTTTTCTTTCTAAAAGGACAACAAAAAATAAAATTATTCATGTTTCATTTTTCAAAAATGTCCTGATGCAACTTTAAGCGGCATTTAGTATCTTAACGAGAACAAAATATGACACAGTTATATGGAATACAAGTTACTAAAAGAAATAATTTGTACTTGATAACGATAAGAGAATACTTGTCAAAACGTCGTACTATATGTGTATAAACCAGTGATTGTTTTCCATATAAATTGTGTTGTGTTTTTTTAATGTGCCCAATCACTAAATGCCACTCAAGGATTATAATAAATAAATAAATCTTTTTAGTAACTTGTATTCTATATATTATGTTGTTCTTAGTGTTTGACGTCTGCTTCCACCAAGACAAGTCTTATTTTTTATTTTTATTAACTTAGCACAGTGGTCTTTCCTGTGGGAGGAAACCGGAGTAAACCCACAAGGTTGAGAAGGTGCCCCTATCTCCAAGCCACATATATTCACAACAGGGACTTACATCACAACCGCAAGCCAGATGTGACCGGCCAGCTAGAGGTTGAAGCACGGCACTCTAGACTACCCCTATTCCATATAATTGTGTCATGTGTTATTATGAGGGACCGAAAACAATTATTTATCAGACCGAAAACAATCAAACAATCAATTATTTATTGGACCGAAATCAATCAATTATTTATTGAACCGAAATCAATCAATTATTTATCGGACCGAAATCAATCGATTATTTATCTTAAGATATACATGTATCTCAACTTTTCCTTCTAAGCGATGTTACTTTTTAATTAACCGTAACAGACCGTTTCATTGGCTGACCCCTCATTTCAAGCAGAACACGAGTTAAATAACAACTCTTCCAGATCCAAGTGTAGTAAAGACAAGTAAAACGAAATTTTGAACTATAAAAACGAAACGAAATAAGATCTGTGTTTAGCAGGACATTTTTATTGTTTTGTACAGTTAATAGTGATCAGTGCTTTGTAAAATAAGAATGTTCGTACCATGGACCAGGAACTGACAATGTTGTTGGATGAAATTTAAAAATCTGATTCACCAAATCGATGCAGAATTATTACAAGAAGAACAATGCCAATTTTATGTCGATGGGACTTGAATTGACAGAGCCTTGGGCTTTTTCCAAGAGCGTCACCAAAAGAAGAACAACAAAAAGATCAGTAGTGGTTAGCAACCAATTCCTGGTCCCAAAAATTGGGATTATTCTAACAATTGTTATATTCTTTGGAAAGAAATATCTTTCTAATCCAAAGTCAATAAAATTTGGCTGACTAACAAAATTTTGAAGGGAAAACCCAGGGCCCTGTTTCTCGAAATCTTAACTAAAGATAAAATCCAAATTTTAGTAGATACTTCAATTTTCTAAGAACTAAAATCAATCTAATATTATCCAATCAAATTACTAAAATTTGGATTTTATCTTAGTTAAAATTTCATGAAACAGGCCCCTGGTCATGAAGGTAAACTATTACTTCTGATCATTTCTATTTCTTACCTCAGATTCTTCATCTTTTATAACTATTTCAAAACTCTTCTCAAGCTGGGTTTTCTGTCCACGCCCACTAACAATCTCTAAGACCCTAGAAATAATACAAGTAGATTATAACACTAGAAATAATACAAGTAAATTATATTCCTAGAAATAATACAAGTAAACTAGAAATAATACAAGTAAAATATAACCCTAGAAATAATACAAGTAAACTAGAAATAATACAAGTAAACTAGAAATAATACAAGTAAACTAAGAAATAATACAAGTAAACTAAGATATAATACAAGTAAACTAAGATATAATACAAGTAAACTAGAAATAATACAAGTAAACTAGAAATAATACAAGTAAACTAAGATATAATACAAGTAAACTAGAAATAATACAAGTAAACTAGATATAATACAAGTAAACTAGATATAATACAAGTAAACTAGATATAATACAAGTAAACTAGATATAATACAAGTAATCTAGATATAATACAAGTAAACTAGAAATAATACAAGTAAACTAGATATAATACAAGTAAACTAGAAATAATACAAGTAAACTAGATATAATACAAGTAAATTAGAAATAATACAAGTAAACTAGATATAATACAAGTAAACTAGATGTAATACAAGTAAACTAGAAATAATACAAGTAAACTAGATATTTTACAAGTAAACTAGATATTTTACAAGTAAACTAGAAATAATACAAGTAAATTATATTCCTAGAAATAATAATACATGACCTAAATAACTACCACCTGACAGTATCATGACCATATTATTACCGGACACAAGAGCAGTGGCTGCTTAGTGAGTATTATGCTGGCTCGCTAACTAGGATTTTCCGGAGTGGTTACCCCTTGTTAGTGACGCAGGAAGAAAGGCCTGATAAGCAAAAGTGTCAAGTCATTTGGATGGGACAAAAAAAAAACAACCAGATGCTGTGTACATATTGGCATGCATGTAAAAGAACCCTTGACAGTTGGAATTTGAATTAAGATAGGTTGTAGTGCCGTTGTGCTCGAAAAATTATGTCAATCTTCATTATCTTAGTTAGCCGAGTTTGTACAGAACACAGGAGGATAAACACCATTTCAATCGTATTACCTGACAGTATCGTGACCTATATGTATTATCCTGCCTGATTCATCACCATGAAAAATAGCTTTATCTAACTCAATACTGTTGTTGTCTAAATCTAGATGACCACCTTTGATCTAAAATGTAATGATAATATATATACATTCACGATTCAACCAGCGGCTGCCAGGCAGGATACGCCCACATTTTCGAGAGATGGATAGAGAACAAGCTAACAAGAAAGTGATTTTTCCTACAATCAAGGGCCATAATTCAGGAAATTACAATTCGATATGCGAGAATATCGAAAGAAACTGAGATCTTTGTGTTATAAACTTACATTTCAAGTTTCAACAAAATCTATAGGTTCCACAACCTTGATATACCATATTTTTACGCTATTTTAGAACGAACGGCGGCCATTTTGTCTGTCAATTTTAGGCCGATTTTCACAAAATTCGAACTCAGCAATCCTTAGGGTGTAACAGTGATATAATAATACCTTTTTTTAAATCGGATAAAAATTATGACCTCAATAGGGTCCACAAGCTAAAAACGCAATTTTTCATACAATCCGGGGCCAGAATTCAGGAAGTTACGGTCTGATATGCACGAATATCGGGAGGAACCGAGATCTTTGGGTTATAAACTTACATTTTAAGTTTCAACAAAATCGGATAAAAATTGTGACCTCTATAGGGTCCACAACCTTGATATACCATATTTTTACGCTATTTGAGAACGAACGGCGGCCATTTTGTCTGTCAATTTTGGGCCGATTTTTACGAAATTCGAACTCAGTCATCCTTAGGGTGTAACGGTGATATAATAATACGTTTTTTTAATCGGATAAAAATTATGACCTCTATAAGGTCCACAAGCTAAAAACGAGATTTTTCGTACAAACAGGGGCCATAATCCATAAAGTTTCGATCCGATACATGCCAATATCGAAAGCAGCCGAGATCTTTTGGGGATAAACCTATATTTCAAGTTTCGTCAATGAAAATGATGGACGTATAAAAATAGCTTTATCTAACTCAATAATGTTATTGTCCAAATCTAGATGACACCTTCGATCTAAAATATAATCATATATACACCAAATTCATGCTCCTTATTTCAAAATTAGCAGCGTAATTAAAAGTGTGCATTAATAACTGTGAGACGACTTGTTCTCTGGAGATTTTATGAGAAATGACAACTTTGTGTTAAATATGTTTGTTAATTCACTTGTGCTTTAGGGGTTTAGCAATAGGACAGACGACCCTATTCCTTGTCACATACAAGATGGGAATCGAAATCAATGACAGACCATTTGGCCACCCAACTCCGCAGTAAAAGTGTTAAATATAAACTTACAACTTGTCTGTCTATAAAAGAATAAACCAGAAAACATCCAAGACTACCATGAGGTGTAATTATAAAATGCCACGGAAAGCCACCAAATTGAACATTATGTTGAGAACATTTCACCTCAAATAAAACAGGCGGACATTCTGTTAAAAATAAAAATAAACAATCTGAAATGCTCTATGTGAAATCAAGATGTACAGAAGACTCTTACAGTATCAATACAATATGCCAGATTACACAGTATGTCAGAATACTCAATTGCCTCAATACCGGAAGTATTATTGTATCTTCAAATACCGGAAGTATTATTATAATGCACCCTTGAATACCCAGAACTTCAAATATGATAATGCTTTCTGTACATTCAAAATTGATTACATGTCGTAGTATCGAGATGTCGGAAGTGACAAAGTCCATTGTAAAGAATATAAACACAGATTAAAAGCCTTAGTAATTTGACCTTATTCTAATTTATCATAAACATAAAATGGGGTTTAATGTGTCATTCTAATTCATCAGAAACATAAAATGGGGTTTAAGAGTTATTCTAATTCATCAGAAACATAAAATGGGGTTTAATGTCTTATTCTAATTCTTTTACATGTATGTAGTGGACCTCCTTTTCTGTACAATCCGAACAACTAGACAATGAATTGCTGACTAAATCTCATCCCCAATGAATTCATATAATAAGAAGAGCAGTTACCTGTTACTTTAATGTTAATAGGTATACCATTGGTATAGATTCCATTTACCATATATTTATCTGTGTCTGTTCTGTACTTATTACACAAAAATATATATTTTATAATCTGTGGTTAGTCACTGAGAGAGAGAAAGAGAGAGAGAGAGCGAGAGAGATATGTGGATTAACCTCCACTCAACAAACTAGGTCATTTCGGGACTAACATATGGTTCAATTATATTTCAATAATTCGCTTGCATGTACTGTCTTTAGTATTGGGAGGATTCCGGAGGACTCAGAGAAAACCCACAACGTTGGACACGCATAGGGGTCTTTAGTAGGTGGAGGAAACCGAAGGACCTAGAAAAAACCCATGAGGTTGGACAGGCGACCTTACTCCTTGTCACGTACAACTGGGGAATCGAAACCATGCCAGTTGACTCAATGACAGAACTTACGATACAGCGCGCACACGCTCACCATTCCGCCAAAAAAACCCCTTCTTATCATATAAACCAAGACATGTAATTAGTGCGAATTATTAGGCTGTCAAAGGTTCTTTTGGATTCACATCCAGAGTGACAACAACGGAAGCGAACCTGAGACTCACTGAGTGACCGCAGTTCCCTAAAGCTGGAAGATACGGGTACCATGATTATCTGAAATTAAATAAAATTCTCCTACCTTTCTTACAATTTCTTCAAAGTTAAAGAATTTAACAAAACCTGATTGATACATTATTATCAACATTCCTCCTATTATCATAGCATCTAATACACCTGTTCCCCATGTCTATAAATAGATTGTAAACAACTGTCAACAGATACACCTGGTCCCCATGTCTATAAATAGATAGAGAACCACAGACTAGTAAGCTGATACCGTTGACTAATGAAGCTAGGTCTTTTAGTAATGACAATTTTTTGTCATTCAATGATATAAGTGATCAGTAATCTAAACTAATGTTTAGTATGTATAGAAAGTGGTTAGAAATTATGCAGTAAGTCATTACGATAATTAGCAGGTGTTTAACTAGCTGTAAAAGATGTCACTCCTGGTGACTAATTATAACACCCATCATTATCCAATACACAAACCTGAACAATAGTGGTGTATATCATTCAATAGTCCTAGTTTAAACACCTTAGTGACAAAACACCTACTTAATGACTACTGCCTAATTACTAACAATTTTAACTAACTAATAAACATTATGTATTTAAACTGATGACTTTTATCTATTCTATATTCATTTATAAAAGTTATTTGATGGTCAGTCAGCGATATCAACTTTACAGTGATAGATCGTAATCGGTTGTCAACAGATGATGATGATATTTATATAGCGCATTCTTCCACTACTTTTATGTTCTTAAAAATATGCTTGAGTCAGTTGTATTGCTCTCAATTACGAGTCAGTTGTAGCATTTAAACAGCCATGTTTTTAATTGACACTTGGAAACAGATAAGGATGGAGAAAGTCTAACATGCTCAGGAAGAGAATGCTATAAAGTTGATGCTATACAACCAAATGTTTTTAAATTTGTTTTCATACCCAAAGCGAAGAGTTATAGTAGGTTGATATAAAAACCACTTTAGGTCTTGTACGAAATGGAATGAAATGGTGTTTAATTTAATGTCCTACTGTTCTGCTCCTACTGGGCTAATGAAGACGGGCATACGCACTACTATGTGCTATGAGGGGAATTTTGCCTGGGCAGCGGCACTATGATCTACTCTTATATCGATTTCCAACTGCCAAGGGATCTTTAACATGCATGCCAATGTATACTTGGGACCTTGGTTTTTCATCCCAACCGAATAACTACAGCTTTCCTTGTCAGGCCCTCCGTTCAGCACCACTGACAAGGGGAAGCCATGTTGGAAATCCTGATGAACTTTCTCGGCCAAAGCAGGGATCGAACACCCGACCTCCAGGCTAGCGAGCTAGCGTCTTACCCACTTAGCCACCGTGGCTCCCTAATGAAGATGGAGGTCTTGTGGGTGTAATTTTATGAATAGTCTGATAATGATAATTAGTCTCAATATCATACATACTTCATATATTTTCGATCAAATACCAATATAACAAATACGCGGAGCAGCTTACCCTTTTATCTATTTCTATCATACCAATAAATTGTAGAGGATTTACATCAAATACAGCTAGAACCATAACTATTGATACAGTTACACCAGCCTACAAGATATAAACAACATATTGATACAGATATACCTGCCTACAAATATAAACAACATACAGCTAGAATCATTAACAAGAGCATCGCTAACGCAGCAATATACGTCCACATTCCTGTTTTGTTTGATATGGTCCAGTTTGCATTGAGGGTCTGTGAAATAAAACTGGGTTGTAGGACTGCTATCAGTTTAACACTTCGTTCACATTAACAGAACACAATTTTTATTTTAAAACAATCGATGTCTTTATTCTAAATGCATGACGTTTCGAATAGGTATGCAAAGTTTCAAAAGGATCTGTTAAGAAGTGCGGTCTGTAGGCAAAACACAAGACACACAAACATTAGGCGTGGCTCTGTCCCAAGGGGTCGAGCATGCACCAAAAATAATAATAGAGGTCGGCCTAAGGATTAAGGAATAAGTATAAAAAGTAGCCTTAGGCTATAAGGAATAAGTATAAAAAAGTTTTCAAGATGATCGATTAAGAAATGCGGTCTGCAAGTGACACACAGACATAAAAAAAAGAAAATGGGCGTAGCTCTGCCCCTGGGGGTTGGGTATTCACCACAAATAATAGGGATGTTCCTTAGGATAGAAGGAATATGTATGCTAGGTTTCAAGGTGATACGATAAGAAATGCGATCTGTAGATGACAAACAAATAAATAAATATAAGGGATGGGCGTAGCTCTGCCCCTGGCGGTCGGGCATGCCCCAAAAACAATAGGGATCATCGTTAGGGTATAAGCAATTCATATGAAATTTTTTCAAGACGATTGATTAAGAATTGTGGCCTGTAGGTGACACACAGACATACAAAGAAAAGAAAATAGGCGTGGCTCTGCCCCTTGGGGTCGGGCATGCACCCCAAACGATAGGGATGTTCCTTAGGGTACAAAGAATAAGTATGCATAGTTTCAAGATGATACGTTAAGAAATGTGGCCTGTAGACGACAAACAAACAAATACAAAAAATGGGCGTGGCTCTGCCCCTGGGGGTCGGGCATGCACCAAAAACAATAGGGATCATCCTTAGGGTATAAGGAATAAGTATGTAAAGTTTGAAGATGATCACTTAAGAATTGTGGCCTGTAGGCGACACACAGACACACACACACAGACAGGGGCGACGGCAATATACGTCCACATTATGAATGTGGACGTATAAAAATGAGAATCCTAGTCGAAATGCCACTCAATCAATCTGGTTAAAACACAGATCCTTTTTCGTTTCGTTTTTTTATAGTTAAAAATTTCGTTTTACTTGTCTTTACTACACTTGGATCTGGAAGAGCAGTTATATTACCAGCATTTTGGATGATGTGAGGGATTAGCTAATGAAACGGTCTGTTACAGCGAGTTTTTGGAGTGAGGTGCCAACCCACTATAAACATCAACGCTGATTGGTTAACCAAATGTCTGACATCATAGGGTCAAAAGTATTTTGTATGACCTCTGAAGCTACCTTACACTACTACAACGAACAGATCTTCATGTAGTGTAGGCCATCAAAAGTATAAAAAAACAAAACGAAATATAGATGTGTATTTTAATCAGAATGCCACTCAATAAAAAAAAGTAAATGTATTCCATAGAACCATGTCCAGTGCATCACACAACAGATCAGCCATTTTGATAAATTTCTGATCAAGAAATCTGCCATGTAATTGATTCTGTCCTGTTCCAGAGTAATGCTTGGTTTAACTAAAACTGTATTTAAAGCTTTACGTACAGTGAAATAATTTCATTCTCAATAAAAAATGCATGTGGATATTTTACGAACCTGTCTTGCAAAAGCCGACATTTTATTATGTGTTGATCTTATAACTAATGTTTCCTGATCAACACTCCAAGCTAATTCCCTAAAATAGAAAACAACATCACGTTAAAAATAACTCCCTGTTTACAAACTCGATGATCTGATGACTATAAACATATTCACACTAATTAATCTATCACAAATTTGCTTCCAATCCCTCTCAAAACATTGTATTCATGAGGAAATACCCTAAGATATAAAAAAATCTATTTTTAGAAGCCCTGTTTGTCACCTTACTTGATTGAGGGAGGGCCCATTTTCAAAATGTATTTGTCACCCTGCAAAAAGGTTTCGTCCCCTCCCCCCGTGAAAAAATTGTCGACCATAAAAACAATAGATATACATTGTCTGTCAATTTTAGAGCACCCCTGAGAACACTTCTCGCCCCCCTCGTTGCTCTGAGCTAGTTACAACCCTGGTAAACATATGCCTAACCTTTTCCTCAATCCACTTTCAAATGAAATAAAATATTGTTTATATGAAAAAAAAAATAAGTCTACGAACCTGAAGTTAAGATGTGATGATAAATAGAGATCATGTAGAACCTCACCGGACGTTAAATTATATAAACGAAGATGATTATTGGCTGTAATAGTTATTAAACAATCATGTTGATATAATCTGGACAAATGTAAACATTCCTGATAATAATAGAAAATAAATAATATTACACATTTCAAAAGCATAAAGAAACGGGCAACGAAACATAAACCCACAGTAGCTAATAGTAAGTGAAGGGGGACTGCACCACACATAATTTAAACAAAAACAAATCTATGGACAAGACACAATATGCAGAAATCACAAACAAACGAACATATCAAATTCCATAAAGTCTTTTTTAGGTAATGTGAGAATTTAAAAGACAATAAAAAATAACTAGCATGCAGCACAAACTTAAAATAAATATTTACAGTATCAGTAATTAGATGATAACTTAATTCACTGTAACCTGGGTATCATATAATCATGTGTATTTAGCACTAATTTCTTTCATATTCATTTAATATAAAATCTTTGTTTAAAAATTTGTAAAAATCATTTAAAATCACCCAAAATCATCTAATTTGTACTTGTGTCCAGTTTAAAGCTGGCATGACAATATTACAATAATATACACTCGAGTGGCATGACAAGATTACAATACCATACACAGTGGCATGACAATATTACAATAATATACACACCTGAGTGGTATGACAAATTAAGGCATCTTCTATTTTTCTATTCGTTGGTACAGATGGTAATGTATAAACAAGGCGAGGTGAGCAGGATAAAGTATTCCTGTAATTATAACATTTCAAATCCATTAACAGAGATATGCTAACAAACCAAGATGATACCTCTTATAGCCAATACCAGGCACAAATAAAAACTTTGTAAGAAATAACACATAATTCAATAAACTATAACACATTAAAGAACAATTACTGATTTATTTTGGCAACAGTTTGAAGAGTATTCTCTCAACATATGTGTTAAGTTTATTGCTCTATCAAGTTATTAAATGCCTCTAAAACACATAATTCCTTTCTCCCATTTGGAACATATTAAACACATCCAGGGGACAAAATTTTCTAACACCACTTACCCATTATAAAAATATCTGTAATTATCAAAAAATATATTGCTTCTGAAATGAAAGAAAATGAGTTAAAATTAAACAATGTCCGTCCCCGCAATGGTTCCTATTCAGTAGCAGAAATATGTATCCTGTCAATGTATGGTTTTATTTTCTGGTGGGGTCACGGTGGCTAAGTGGGTAAGACGCTGGCTCGCTAGCCTGGAGGTCGGGTGCTTGATCCCTGCATTGGCTGAAAAAGTTCATCCAGATTTTCTGGTGTGGTTTCCCCTTGTCAGTGATGCAGTACGGAGGGCCTGATAAGAACAGCTGTCTAGTCATTTGGATGGGACGATAAACCAAGGTCCCGTGTACACATTGGAGTGCACGTAAAAGATCCCTTGGCAGTTGGAAGTCAATATAAGAGTGGGCCGTAGTGCCGCTGTCTGGGAAAAATTCCCCCATAGCACACTGTATGGCGTATGCCTGTCTTCATTAGCCCAGTTCAGAGCAAAACAATAGGACGTTTAACCCCATTTCATTTCCTTTTATCTAATTTCTGGTGAGACATTTTCCCTCAGCAGGGGAGAATGTCACAGGATTAATACATGTATCAATATTGCACTAGCATATTTTATATCTGTGTTTTGAGGTTTCCATAGTTTGTTCTATGTCGGTATTGTTGGGTGTGTCCGTCACTTGGGCTTGTATATTGTATGTGATTGGTTTGCAATTCCAGCCGCGAAATGCATAGGGATTCAAATACACTAGCACAATATTAATACAAATATTAACCCTGCGACTGGTATATATTTGAGTAATATTATATTTGTAGTTACCCCTCAGTTGATATGTGCTTTGTGGAATGTTTTTCCCATACTTTTCGGAATGTTGTTTTTCCCTGAAATATAATCAAATAAAAATATTCAATCAAATACATGTAATAGTATTATCAGCTATGATTATTTCATAAGAGTCAACAGAAGCAGGGGTTAGAGTCTGTGGGTTGCTCTTCACCATTATAGCGTAAAAAATAACTTTGAAGTCTTGTTGCATCATTTTAATGCAAACTACAATATTGTGGTAAATGAATCGCGAATAGGAATATCAGTCCATAAATGGTCCAATTGATTTCAGTATCTACAAACACTCCAGTGCCTCTTATATGTGTTCAGTAAAATATTTTGATGGGGGAGCCACGGTGGCTCGGTGAGTAAGACGTTGGTTCGATCCCTGCATTGGCCAAGAAAGTTCATCGGGATTTTACAGCGTGGTTTTTTAGTGATCCGTGACAGAGGGTTTGACAAGGGACAGTGTATAGTTATTTGGATGGGAAGAAAACGGAGGTTCTGCATAGACATTGGTGTGCACGTAAAAGATTCCTTGGCATTTGAAATTCGATGTAAGAGTTGGCTGTAGTGCGGCTGTCTGGGCAAAATTTCTTCATAGCACACTGTATGGTGTATGCCGGTCTTCATTAGCCCAGTTTAGGAGAAGAATAGTAGGACGTTAAACCCCCTTTTATTTCATTTTTGATGGGCCTCTTATTAATGTGACTGAATTCAAGTCAGTAGATTATCTACCATTGAGATTCTGGATTTGTATTAAAGGACAATATTGGTGTCAGTCATTATCACATATGTGATAGAACTGGTTAGTTTTTTGAATTGTTAGACTGCATTCCACAGTCTCATACAACAACTTTTGGTCTTGGAAGGAATTATTATTGAGCAGAAATTCACCCGTGTATCTGTTATCATTCGTCACTTCAGTCAGTTATATAGATGGATAACTCATGTTAACCTTTCGCGTTTGTCACTTCCGTTTCTTGAAATCTTTGTTACTCAGCTATCGTAGCAATGATCTCTGTGTTAAAATTATATTTGGAACATGTTTAACGAGTTCTATCACATATGTGATAATGACTGACACCAATATTGTCCTTTAAATAAGAATGTTAAACAATCACTTTGGATTATAGGTCATGAAAAGTTAGATATTGTTAAAAAAAATTACTTTTAAGTACCTGGTAATAAAGAAATAAAGACGATCTTTTACGTTTACCTTACAAATGATATTCTTTAAAATCTTCAAGTTTCTTCTATAACTATTACCACTAGCATATTCCCTTTGTAGCAGGTGGAGATATATACTCTCTGATGTACTGCACGGCCGTTTACTGCAACTCATTGTCTACAATCTAACGTATTCCCTACATAAACCTCGAGTTCATTGTCAACACAAATCAACAGATTCTCTACATAAACCTCGAGCTCAATGTCTACAATCTAACGTATTCTCTACATAAACCTCCGGCTCATTGTCAACAATTCAACAGATACGCTTGTTGAGATGGATCAATATTAGCTTTATAGCTTGTTTTGCAATCCAAATAAATTATTATGTATTGTATATAATATGTAGCCTAATTATATTTTAAATCAATACTGTTTAAATCAACAAATACGCTACAGAAACCTGGAAATAATTAAGGCAGCTATCACAGACAATGTCAGGCATAGATTTAGGCTTTATCTCTGGTCTTTTCTGTGGTGTTATACTTAAAATACGTGTCCCACACAAAGTCAAAACATCTTAGACCTGATGCTACATATTGATAGAAAATGTCATTTCATTCAATTCTTCTTTCTTGACTCATGTCTAAATAATTACACTTGACTACATCTAGAATAAAACACAAAATAATGATTTATTAGTAAACTAAGGCCTGGCTTATGTTGCCCTACGACGCGTTAAAAATGACGGCGACTAACGGAAACTGGGAGCTTGCGTCGCTACAACTGAATTTATCCACGACTGGATTTGCAACCACGAGCAACCAGTTGATCATAGTCGTAAGTGAGCACATGTCGCCTGACGTTAGTTGCAGAATCGGGGCCACTTAACGGATCACATGATAACCTTCAAAATGGCCTCATTCCACTTGTCCACCATGTTTGTTACCGCTCCCTGTGTACCATGTGACTAAATAACCGAATCTTATTGGCTGCTTCAACTGGTTGCTGTCCACCTTACACCAGTCGTAAGAGCACTCAGGTCGCCCTGGTAGTCACGACTGATCAGTTCCACTTGATCGTAAACCAATCGCCGATTTCGAGTCACCGTCAGTTTTGTCACGTCGTAGGGCGACATAAGCTATATTCTTTAAATGTACCCAGTGTTATCCGGTAGGGCCCTAAAACGCTTCCTTACGAGTTTTCGTGAAATGGTGGTACTTGTGGCGATAGGGCCGGGGGGGGGGGGGGGTTAACAAAATATTTTCAACTTGATGTAATTTGACTACCACTAGATCAGTTATGTTTAAATTAAATTTGAGACAAATCTCTGCCAAGTCAAGATATTATAGATATAATTTATATTTTAATTGTCCACAGTAAATTAAAAATTAAGGACGAGATGTGGCACTATTAAAGGAAAACTGGAGTTACCTCCCTTAACGGAGGCAGACCCAATCGGCAGACCATAGCAGACTAAAACAATGCAAGATCTACGGTCGTTTATTAATACAAGCCATTTGTGGTATAAAATACTACGGTACACTATAAACCTGTTAACCGAACTGCCATCACAATAACATAAGCAGGATATCTGTCGAACTTTGCTAAACACGACCGTTACAAGCAAGAAAGCAGCACACAAGTACACAAACAATCACGATAGACTAAAATTAATTCTTTGACAGAAGATTTAATTTGTAAAAGCGAGTTGCCTCCCTTACATTGATGTGTTTCCAAAATAGTGAACGTAAAGACCTAAGATATAAACTGAATTTAATATGCACAACACCCACGATTTCCGATGTTAAAATATTTGCACACACCTTATAATTGTCAAATATATGTGTGGGATAACAATTCATGAAACTATTTTGAAAAATGAATAAATATGCTAAAATATTAGATAAAATAATGCCAAATTATTAATCAAGTAAAATTATTCATGCATATTATTATGAGGGTTAAGTTTTGTGGAAGATAGTTCCGGATACTTTTCTGGAATGATTACAATGTATAAAAGGGCGGGAAATAAAAGCTCTTAGTAAATTAACCTTTTTAAAAGAAGGGGGGAGGGGTGGATGGCCGAATGGTTAGCACGTGCGCGCTGTATCATAAAGCCTGTCACTGAGTCAACTGGCGTGGTTTCGAATCCCCGGTTGTACGTGACAAGGAGTAGGGTCGCCTGTCCAACCTCGTGGGTTTTCTCCGGTTTCCTCCCAATGCTAAAGACCCCTACGCGCGAGCGAATTATTGAAATAAAATTAAACCATATGTTAGTCCCGAAATGACCTAGTTTGTGTCGAGTGGACGTTAAACCCCACTTCTCTCTCTCTTTTTTCAAAGAAAATAAAACACAGACAAAATTTCCGGGGTTTTTTTTCGCCACCGACTTTTAATCACACCACTCGCCAAGTACTGTCGCATAAACTGTGTAAACTTTGGAGACATCTTTTCTGGAAATGTAGCCATCTTTTCTCACGATAAATTTGCCACGGAAATATAACTATCTTTTCTCACGACACTGGTATATAACAATTTTTTCTCACGATAGGGAAATATGACAATATTTTCTCACGACCCCGGAAATAAAGCGATCTTTTCTTAGGACACGGACATATATTCATCTTTTCTAAGGATAAATAGCCTGTGAAATATTGGTCTAACTCTCTATTCACACGATACGGAAATATAACCATCTTTTCTCACGACATAATATAAATATCTTTTCACACGATACGGAAATATAACCATTTTATCACACGATACGGAAATATAACCATTTTTTTCACACGATACGGAAATATAACCATCTTTTCTCACGACATAATCTAACCATCTTTTCACACGATACGTAAATATAACCATCTTTTCACACGATACGGAAATATAACCATTTTTTCACACGACATGGAAATATAACCATTTTTTCACACGACATGGAAATATAACCATCTTTTCTCACGACATAAACCATCTTTTCACACGATACGTAAATATAACCATCTTTTCACACGATACGGAAATATAACCATTTTTTCACACGACATGGAAATATAACAATCTTTTCTCACGACATAAACCATCTTTTCACACGATACGTAAATATAACCATCTTTTCTCACGACTTGGAAATTTAATCATCCTTTCAATATACGACACGGAAATATGGCCACCCTTTCTCACGACATGGAATTATATCCATCTTTTCTCACGACATGGAATTATATCCATCTTTTCTCACGACACGGAAACATACATTCTCCCGATAAATAGCCTATAGGTCTATATATGTCGGGGAGTTGGATGGCCGAATGGTTGGCGTGCGCGTTGTATCATAAGGTCTATCCTTGAGCCAACTGACGTGGTTTCGATACCGGTTGTACGTGACAAGGAGTAGGGTCGCCTGTCCAACCTCGTGGGTTTACTCCCGGTCCCCCGGTTTCGTCCTACTGCTAAAGACCCCTACGCGCAAGCGAATTATTGAAATAAAATTGAACAATATGTTAGTCCCGAAATGACCTAGTTTGTGTCGAGTGGACTTTAACACCCCCTCTCTCTCTTTCTCTCGTTTTACATTTGTTTTTGGGGTTTGTTTTTTTCCATTTCTTTTATTTTTCGTTTTTAATTGTTTAGTGGGTTTTTTTATGTGCTAAAAATTTTGGGCATGAAAATGTCCCCAGTCACATTCCAAATACAAGAATAGCATATTTTCATTCATGTCAATTTAGACCTTTTCTCGCATACCTTTATTTAGACGTTAAGGACGCGCGCGGCAACTATTTCAGGCAGCCATTTTTAGAACACCTGTAGGTCGCAAACCTTTATTTTCGCACCTTAAAAGGACGTAAATGTGTGATAATCCCAATCCACTACAAAAATAAATATACACTTAAAATATATGTTAAGTTCAAGCGAAAAGGATATAGACACAGTTGTCCAGGTTGTAACTGTTTCACATTTGAAAAGGTCAGAGAAGCCAATATTTACATTAGTTGGATCTCTAAGGCGATGAAGTGTACCAATAATGGCTTTCATATATTCTGTATTATTAGGTTGTTTGACATAAGGCGGTATATATACATTTCATCAAATGTACCGTTTCGTGGGAAATGAACGATTCAAACACGCCCAGGGTTCTATATAATGTTTAAAACTATCAATGAAATGTCTATTTTCCCGATGTCACGATATATGATGAGGTGGCAATTCTTCTATTTTGCTTAAATTTGTTGTCCAAATTCTCAAATACTTTTCACCTTTCTTTCTAAAGCTAATTCTTTAAAATAATTAGTCAACTTTTTGTTTCAATGGTTGTAACACGCGCGGTTTTAATCATTGAATCAAGTCTCCCTGTTAAAGGGGCAATAACACTCTTGCTGGCTTAACAGCTCTAGAAAATAAAAAATAGTCTTATTCTAAGTACTAAATGTGTTAGTGTCTTACCTGTTGTGTAAATTATCCATTAAATCCTATTTTACTTGTCCAGAGGGTTCAAAAATATTTTTAAATCCAAGTCACATTTGAAAAGCTTTACGTCAGACTTTTCAAATCATTTAGTTGAATTTTTCCAATTTTTTAAATTAGGTGTGTTAAGATGAAATTTGTATCATCAATTAATTGGAATATTGTAAAATAGTACAATTTGTTGACCAGAATAAAGATTGGGACATATTATTCAGATAGAACAAGAGTGGTATTGAGCCTTTAAAGACCCCTTGTGTCGACTTGACGTAAAAGATCCCTTGACAGTTGGAATTTGATATAAGAGTAGGCCGTAGTGCAAAATTTCCCTCATAGCACACTGTATGGTGTATGCCCGTCTTTATTAGCCCAGTATATAAGCACAATAGTAGGACGTTAAACCCCATTTCATTTCATCCTCCCCTCCCTCCCTCTCTCTCTCTCTCTCTCTCTCTCTCTCTCTCATTGAGTCAAGGTTAAGGCACGTGATTGTTTGCGAGATTGTAAGTTAGGGTTAGGGTAAGCATTGTGGTAGGTCCAGGGTTAGGGTTGGGATTAGCGCTATTCCTGTTTACATCTCGTGACTTATAATGACGAAAAATTGAGCTGGCCTTATCATTTAGCGCTAACCCGATACCTGGTGTGATGTGAATAGTGTATCGCTCCAATGATTACCTATTCCCTACATACCTGGTGTGATGGGATTAATATATCGCCTCAATATTTTATTGGGGGATTAAAAATGTTTCTAGCCAACTTTCCCTATATTTCTTTATTGATTTAAATATTTACGATCCGGTCTCCCTTGGCGCACGTCGGATATGATATGGTCAAATTTGATTGAAACAACGATGTCCACTGTCCGGTCTATGCACGAAGAAAGATAATATTATTATTATATGTGCATATTGAAGAAAGAAGAATAATAATATACATGAAAGCATATTGAATTCAATACAACGTTTGAAAACGAAATGAGGTTTAACGTCCTACTGTTCTGCCCCTATACTGGGCTAATGACGACGGGCATACGCCATACAGTATGCCCGGGCAGCGGCACTATGACCTACTCTTACGTCGAATTCCAACTGCCAAGGAATTTTTTACGTTTACACGGGACCTCGGTTTTTC